ATGAATAAAGACCAAAGTTCAACTTAGGCAAAGCGTTTCATTTTCATTTGTAGAAAACAATTAAAAAATATCACTAACGTTTATAAGCAGAATATATATATATATATATATATATATATATATATTATTATATAAATTATATAACATAAAAATTGTATAAAATCAATAAAAATCACGACAAAAACAGCCATTTTGTTTCAACACTTCTGGTGTCTTATCAAGTGATGATGTTGAATGTAGAATAAAGGGTTTATAAGATAATTATGTTATAATTTTCAAATAAATAATTGTATTTGCTCTACTCTGTATTGATATATATATATATATATATATATATATATATATATATATATAATGTATATAGATTGAATTAAAATTAAAATATATATATATATATATATATATATATATATATATATAAAATATGGTAAAAATCATATTAATATGTGCTTCAAAAATACATATTGAATTGTGTCACTTCCTTTCCTTCGGAATTTGTCTGACTTTTCAGCTAACCTACTTAAATATTTTTAAAAAATCAATAGCATTTTTGCTATTGTATATAAATACTTTTTAAAAATAAATTGTTCGCATTAGTCTTGATACAGTCCCTCAGTGGACAAAACGCGTCAGTTGGGTTTTCTTTTGCCTTTATATATATATATATATATATATATATATATATATATATATATATATATATATATGAATATAATGAGAACGAAAGTAATATAAAATTCTAATGTTCACAGCATTAATCCAAAAGAGGATCAATACCGAGCGTAAAGCAGTAATTATTTATTATAATTTTTTATATAGATGAAAACAGTTTACTCACTACAAAGATGAAACTTTGTTTCGGTGCATTTAGGTGCACCTCGACTAAATGCGCCGAAACAAGATTGCATCTTTGTAGTGAGTAAACTATTTTTGTCTATGTGAAAAAAATATAATATATATATATATATATTATAATTTTTCATACACACACACACACACACACACACACACATATATATATATATATATATATATATATATATATATATATATATATATATATATATATATATGAATAGTACAGGTAATCAGGTCCGTTGTAATATTAATTATTAAAACTGATCCACGGAGAGCTCGTTTTATTTTGTTTTAACAGAGCATATGTATTTCTTACAGCAAAAAATTACCTCAACATCTGAATAGTGTATTACAAACCGTTCTTCACACGACTATCATCAGCCGCTAAGTCCTTGTCTCGGAGCATTCTTCTAAATTTATTTGCAAAGTCAGTCCTCTTCTAGTAGGCGCCTTGTTAATGAGAGTGGGTTTGTGTTAGTGATTGGTGGTGGCGCAAGGCGTCTTATCTCGGGGGAAGCGGTCTGGGTTTCGACTACTCATGTCGGAAAATCTTTCCAATACATAGTTACCACTCCTTAAGCGGGTTTTGTGAGTATGACACAGCATTACTGACTCTGCAAATACGAAATTTAATTTCCAGATGATCATAACAATTGTTGTCTTTCGCAATTATGAACATCACAACACTTACGTAAATAACAATACCCTGACGATGACATTATGCTATGTCGAAAGTGCGCGGATAATAAAATAAAAAAATGAATCAGCACAGCGTCTTCCTCACGTCTTTCAATAATCACACAAAAATGTTATCCGCGAATATGAAATATTCCTATAGAGAATAAGAAGACAGAGAATGTCAAAATTATTCAACGAAATCTGTTGATATATATATATATATATATATATATATATATATATATATATATATATATATATAAAAACTTTAAATAAACCTTGTAATTTTTGTTTGTAGTTTAATATCAGTTCCTAATATGTGGTGTTTCTTATAACGGCCCCGCTGTGTGTTTTGCTGCGATTTGCAGTAAATAGTTTTTGTACTACTAAGCTATGGGCGATTTAAACTTAAGTCCGTTAAGATTAATGTAAATTAGTTGAGTTATAGATTTATAGATTGTGGTTAATACCAGAGCACCCAGTGGAATAACTCATGCTGTCTAACACACTTATATGCGTACATATCTTCATACATACATATATACATGTGTACATTTACATGTTCATACATAGATGCCACTATACGTACACATATACCCCCACATATATACACCTGTATTCTTATGCAATATGGAATTTATTTGTATGTCTACATTTCGTGATTAGTTCTCTCCGTTTATTTAATAGTTTGGAGTAATGAAACTCGTCAGAGTTGCGTCAAAGGGGCGGGGGGAAATATATATATATATATATATATATATATATATACATATATATATACATATATATGAACAGTAAAAAATATTAAAAATTAAAATCTTCAGACACACTAGGTTGTATATTAATATTCTTTCGTTTTCATTATTATTTCATTTAGATTCCTTGACTAGTTTCGGCCAACATGGCCATCATCAGGAGAGAAAAAATATTCTGCTTGGTGGCAGCAGTGAACTACAGAAATGAATGTCTTGATGGAGAAAATGAACTTCTGTCTGTAGTTTTCATTTGTTTTTTCATTTATTTTATTTTTCTAACGTGAATTTTGGTCATACCTTGTATTGGTCAGTCTCTTTTAAGTTGTTATATATATATATATATATATATATATATATATATATATATATATATATCTTGTTTACGTATATATATATATATATATATATATATATATATATATATATATATATATATGTTATATATATATATATAAATAGTCTTGTTGTTTTATATATAGAGAGCACCCAGTGGAATAACTCATGCTGTCTAACACACTTACATGCGTTTTATATATACAGAGCACTATATATATAGTCTTGTTGTTTTATATATATATAGATATATAAATAGTCTTGTTGTTTTATGTATATATATATATATGTCATATATATATAAATAGTCTTGTTGTTTTATATATATATATATATATATATATATATATATATATATATACTCCTCACGATTGACACGAGGAATATATATACATATATATACAGAAACACACACGCACACACACACACACACACACACATACACACACACATACATATATATATGTATTCCTTACCTTTTTCACGCAACTTTGACGAGTTTCCTGTACGTGGCAATAGTAAGGCACAAATTAAAAGCTAAACGTTGCAATATTTCAATACTTATTGTCTACTGTAGATCTAATGAAGCAGTCCATTTACTTCCGAGAAAAAGAAAACAGGTAGAAAATGAATTTAAAACGATAACAAATATATTACAAAAAAATAATTGAATTAGAATTTCTCTCTCTGTATATATATGTGCGTGTGTATACGTTCTTTTAATTTTTTAATATTTTATATATATTCATCTACAAATATAGAATTCTCAGTGAAAATATGTGTTTTCCGATAGGAATCGAACCTGTATCATACACGAACCGTATGGTATAGTCTTATTGCTATAGCATTTAGCTACAGAGGAAGGGTCTAGTTAGCAAAAACAAATTACTGTTTAGAGATAGATAGATAAATAGATCTGAAGAGATAGATAGATAGATAGATACATAGATAAAACCAAAACTGAGACAAACAGACAGACAGACAGATAGATAGATAGATAGATAGATAGATTATGAAATGGCAAAGTCTGACAATTTTTTAAAGATATTTTATTGTTATACGTTATTTGTATAGACACAAATATTTAAGTAAATGCTCTGTTTATAATAAACAATATTAACAACTTTTATCGGCCTGAATATCCGAAAAATTTCATAGAAAATATGACAAAAAGAAATTTCTCGGACATTCAGTTCGGTAAATGTTTTAATACTGTTATATTAATACAGTAACCCCTTATGTCTTAGTGGCTTTATTGCCTTGCTTGGGATGAATTCGATTTAAAAAAAAATACGCAATTTGTTTTTTATTTTAATGTTTCTCTCATTTGTAGAATCAATATCCTTGGCTTGAAAGGTTTATGAAAAAAAAGTGTAAGACAGAACTTGTCCATGTTATTTAATAAAACACCCGCACATGCTCGCACACACACACACACACACACACACACATATATATATATATATATATATATATATATATAGTAAAGGTAACAAATCGGTTGGTATATAATTC